GCGCGCAGCTTTGGGCAAACCCTAATGGCAGGATGACAGCATAGACACTGCACTCAGGGCCCCTGAAAGGGTAGCCCTGAGGAGGGCATGACCAGCTGCATATGGGTTGGTACCGCTATTTCCCATCCCCAACAAATTGGTGCCGGACAGGTGGGTAGTCGGCTCAATGTCCTAGAACATGGAGCAAATTGCCTTACATGGTCCTAACAATATCTGGGGGCTGTATCCTCTACCCTCTCCTGCTTTAAAGACATAAAAGGGGGAACTGTGGAGCGCCCCCGCCCATCGCCCTCAGCGCCTATTTCAAAATGGCGCTCAACGGAAGCCCGCTGAGTGCTCAAAGCAGTAAACAACTTTAAGGAAGTAGGGCAGTGGGGAGCGTGGAGAGCACGGGAACACTGCATGCAACCAATCCTCTTTCGAGGACTGGCTTCCGTGCACGTGGACAATGATCTGATTGGCTAGGGGCCCTTTATAAGGCCCCGGGGAAAGGGAAAGGTAGAAAAACTTCTGTAACATAGCCTGGGGAAATAAAGTGCTGAAGAGAAGACCGTCTCCGGAGTCGTCAGTTGCGCGACAGCCATCCATTATTGAAGCCTCTGTTTCTCTCTTAGAATCTATTTTTTCATGGCCACATTTCAGTCGACATAATGTTTTTCCTTGAATCTCTTGCTAACTGCAATTAGCTCTTTAGGACTTGTTCTTTTTTTTAAAAAAAGAATCATTTTATTTAACTTTATTTATTTAATTTTACCAGAGAGTGACAGAGTAAGAGAGAATGAGAGAGAGAGAAAGTGAGCAAGCAAGTTGCCAGGTCTGGGTCTTAAACTGTGGTCAGCCATATGGGAGTCCGGTGCCCCTAACCACCACACCACCTGCCAGGCCCTAGGACTAGTTCTTTTAGGTGTTTCTCTCTCAGGTCTGGAGCTCTATACTCTTTTGCATTAAACTTAATAATCACTTTAACTTTGGGGGTACCAAGTGTTACTTTTATACAGTGAATGGACATTTGATCTTTGGTTGTATGCTGATTACTGTATGAAATTGACTTTCTTAACTTTTTGTTTTCTTTACATGCTCTCACTTGGAAAAGTCTTAAATATCTGATTCAGTCAGACAAACTGACAGTAAATGGCAATTTGCTACAAGGAGAAGTAACTGCCTAAATTAGTCAAGGAACTCTTTGAGTCAGTCACCTGCCTAATTTGAGTGGACTTGCTAACTAGTTCCTATGCCATCTGCATACTTAGTAAAATATTACAAGAAATTTCTACAATTTTATCTTCTCTTGGAACCCATTTTGGTTAATGTTCTTTGTGTCTTTAAAGTGCAAATTTTGGCCTGTAGGTCGGCCATGGCCACCGGTCTCTGTTCCGCAGAATGGGATTTGTTAAAGTTGTCAAGAATAAGGCCTATTTTAAGAAGTACCAGGTGAAATTTAGAAGACAATGAGAGGGTAAAACTGATTACTATGCTCGAAAACGCTTGGTGATCCAGGATAAAAATAAGTACAACACACCCAAATAAAGGATGATAGTTCGTGTAACTAACAGATATCATTTGTCAGATTGCTTATGCCTGTATAGAAGGGGATGATACTCTGCACAACTTATGCACATGAACTACAAAAATATGGTGTGAAGGTTGGCCTGACAAATTATGCTGCAGCATATTGTACTGGCCTGCTGCTGGCCTGCAGGCTTCTCATCGAGTTTGGCGTGGACAAGATCTATGAAGGTCAAGTGGAAGTGACCAGAGATGAGTACAATGTAAAAAGTATCGATTGTCAACCTGGTGCCTTCACCTGCTATTTGGACACAGGCCTTGCCAGAACTACCACTGGCAATAAAGTTTTTGGGGCCCTGAAGATATGGATGGAGGCTTATCTATCCCTTGTGGTACCAAACAATTCCCTGGTTATGATTTTGAAAGCAAGGAATTTAATGCAGAAGTCCATCGGAAGCACATCATGGGCCAGAATGTTGCAGACTACATGCGCTACCTAATGGAAGAAGATGAAGATGCTTACAGGAAACAGTTCTTTCAGTACATAAAGAACGATGCAACTCCATACATGATGGAGGAAATGTATAAGAAATCTCACACTGCTATATGAGAGAACCCAGTCTATGAAAAGAAACCCAAGAAAGAAGTTAAAAAGAAGAGGTGGAATCGTCCCAAGATGTCCCTGGCCCAGAAGAAAGGTTGAGTAGCCCAGAAGAAGGCAAGCTTCCTCAGAGATCAGGAGCAGGCTGCTGAGAGCTAAACCAAACAATTGTCTATGACTTTATTCAAGATAAAGACAATAAACTTAACAACAAAGCAAAAATAAATAAATAAATAATAAAGTGCAAATTTCCTAATCTGCCTTTATAATTGAATAGAAGACTTTAATTACACTGTCCTTTCAAACTAATGAGTTTTACAGTCTCTTGGCTAAAATTCTAAAATAAAACCTATAATTTTTTAACTCTGTATTATATGTTTGTACACATGTGTGGTACGTTGTATCTATGTGCATGTTTGTATGTGGTATCATATTGATTTAAGTGCATGTTCATAGGTTAAACTAGGCTCAAATGCTATTCAAGTTCAAGTGACTTGGGTAAAATCTTTAGTAAATTTATACTTAAATTGTTAAATATAAATAAAAATTTCTTCAGAATTGTTACCATGTGAATTTTTTTCCTTCATCACAAAACAAAAAAGGTACCAATAAGAACAGAAATGCGGAAACCAACTTATTTTCAAAAAGGCAAGTTCTTAAAACCTGAATATATGTGTATGATAAGAATCTAAGACTGTGGGGGTATGGTTTAAGTAAAGAAGCATTAAAACGTGATAGAAGGAGAGAATATTCAAGAAAGCAAGATCCATAGTGAGGAAGCCTAGAATATGATTCAGAGTATAGAAGTAGGGCAAAGGTTCTCCTAGAGGAAAGCCAAGAAAGAAGACTGTTTTAGTAGTAGAGGAATAAAGGAAGATAACATTTTGGTACCTGAGAAGTCAAAGCTATCTATTCTCAAACAATTTCTAAAGTTTAGAACTTTTAATAAAGGTAGCAATAACAATTTTAAAGGCATAATACTCTCTTAGGAAAAAAAATTACCTCCATGTGCCCCTTCTGTCTGATTCACACTCACCTGAACAACTCTGATGTGAGATTTCCCCCTCTGAAATCCATGGCTCCTCTCCTCGCTCCAACTTAAAGATGATCTTTGGTTTGGAAACTTCAAACCCTATTAAATAGGACAAGATAGAAAACTGGTTCCAGCTAATTGCTTTCCATTTGTTCTTCTAAAAAGTAAACATATTTCATTGCAATAATCACAAAGGTGAAAAGGGACTGAAGAATCTCAGACAAATTGAGGATAACACAATCATGCATGTCAGATGTGCTATATGTCTCAGCCACTGGGAATGGAAATACCTTCTCTAAAGCTTTGTATTAGCTTCCTGGGGCTGTTATAACAAAGTGCCAAAATCTGGGTGGCTTAAAACAACAAAAATTTATTGTCTCACATTTACAGAGGCTAGAAGTATGAAACCATGGTGTCAATAGGGTCATACTCTCTCTGGGAAACAGCAGTTAGCATAATGGCTATGTCGCTGGACTCCCACGTAGTCGACCGCGGTTCGCGTCCCAGACCCAGCGGCCTAGAACTCACGCCAGGCGCGTGTGCGTGCGTGCCCAAGATCCCAAGAGGAGAATGGAGGAGAAGGGATTGTGGTGTGACCATCCCCCTGGGGGGTGATTTTTCGCTTTCTGTCTCTATGTCTCTCTCTGTCTGTCTGGTGAGCGCACACGCCCTATAGCGAAAACCTCTCAAAAAAAAAAAAGAGTTAAAAAAAAATAGGGTCATACTCTCATGGATCTAGGAGGGAACCTTTGCATCTTCTAGCTTACAGTATTTGCCAGCAATCTCTGCTGTTCTTTGGCTTGTGGAAGAATTATGCATCACTCCAGTGATATAGCTGTCTTCTCTCTGTCCTCTCATTGTTTTCCTTCTCTGCATGCTTGTAGAAGTATCACCTCAATCTCTGCCTTCATCTTTATATTGCTTTCTCTTTGCAAGTTTCTTATCCAAATTTCCCCTTTACATAAGGATATCTGTCATGTTAGATTATTGCCCACCTCAATGATTTCATTTTAAATTATTTATGTAAAGACTCTATTTTCAAATAAGGTTACATTCTGAAGTACTAGGGGTTAAGATTCCCACATAGCTTTTTGGGGTGGAGGGGACACAATTCAATTAGCAAGAGTTTGCCCTCTGGTCCTCCCAAATTCAGGTACTTCTCACGTGAGAAATGCATACACCTCATCCCAACATCCTCGAAAATTGTAATCATTCCAGCATCAACTCTTAAATCAAAAAGCTCATCTAGGGACCAGCAGTTAGCATAGTGGCTATGCCACTGGACTACCATGTAGTCGACCGCGGTTCACGTCCCGGACCCGGTGGCTTAAAACTCACACTGGGCGCGTGTGCGTGTATGCCCAAGATCCTGAGAGGAGAAAGGAGGAGAAGGGATTGCGGCAAGACCATCCCCCCTGGGGGGTAATTTCTCGCTTTCTGTGTCTCTATCTCTCTCTGTCTGGCGAGCGCACGTGCCCTATAGCAAAAACTTCTCAAAAAAGAAAAAAAAGCTCATCTAAACATCATTTGAGGTCTCAAATTTCATCATCTAAATAACCCAAATCAGCAATGAGTGAGACTTGATATATGATTCATCCTGGGGAAAAATTCTTCTCCATCTGTGAACCTGTGAAATGAGACAAACTATCTGCTTCCAAGATACAACAGTGGGACAAGCATAGGATAAACATTCCAATTCCAAAAGGGAGAAATTAGAATGAAGAAAGGGACCATGGGTCCAAAGTAAGTCTGAAATATAGCAGGTAAATTCCATTAGATTTTTTTAAAAATAGTAGCATTCTTTATAATAGTCAAAATGCTAAAGTAAGTCAAATAAATGTACATGAATAAAATGGATATAAAATTATATCTACATGATGGAATACTAAGCAGATTATCTTCAAATATATAATAATGTTGTTTCTAAAGGTTCCTTTTAAGTGGCATAATACATTCCATCTTTTTCATTTATCTTTTTAAAACTTTTATTTAATCATTGTACATCTTTAAAGCTTGCAACACAGTTTTTCCCAGCATGTATGAGATGCATGTCAATCAAGTCAAAGTCTTTGCTGTATATATCAGTATCAACAGATAACTTTCCATTCCTGTGTCTGTTAAGTGCCTTTTCTTCCTGAGCTCCTCTGTCACTCCCACCACCCACCCACTCCTATACAGTCTCTGGTATCTACACTTGTGTTCCCTGCTAGTATACCTTTCACTTTTTCAGTTTCTACCACAGAATGCAGACACAGATTTTAAGACTTGAGTCCTCATTGGCTCCATAATCTTTCCTCTGAGACCATCAGGGTAGTGGCCCTTCCCTCAGCTCTGGGCCAGGAATGACACTCTTATTACTCCTAGTTGTTCACTAGCACGACTTTTGCTTACTGCCCCCATAACCTTATTCTATTTTGCTCTAGAGGTCTTAGTTCCAAAGGGAGGAATGCTTCCACCAGGAGACACAACAATATTTACACTGGACTGGAAGTTAAGGCCACCACCTGACACTCTCAAGTCCCTCATACCTCTGAATCAACAAAAAAGAAGGGAGTTACTGTGCTAGCTGAGGTGACTGAGTCTGATTACTAAGATAAGATTTAACTGTTATTCCACATGGAGGTAAGGAAGAGTACTTCTAGAATGCTGCAGATCCTTTAGGGCATCTGTTACTTCTATGTCTTACTATTAAAGTCAATGGAAAACTGTAACAATCTGATTCAGATAGGACTACTAATGACCCAGACCCTTCAGGTGACAGTCTGTTCTTAACTTTAGCTGGGCTTCTCTAAATCCTCTTCCCAACTAGGCCTTGACATGTAGACTTCCATATCCAATCTTAGCATCATCCACTTTTAACAAGAATTCTGTTAAATCAGTTTAGCCAGAATTCCCTAACCCCAATATCTGATCACTCTTGATAGCTAATCAAAATCTTTGACCCCCGCTACCCCCAGGTGGTATTTGATCACCCTGGCCTGTCCTCAACAATAACTCTGTTAGGTCTCTTTAGTAAGACTCCTCCCTTACCCACAATGTATCCTCTTGGCAATAATGTATCTACTAGATCCCATTCTGCTCCTTGGCCATAAATCCCCACTTGTCCATATTAATATTTGGAACTGAGCCCAGTTCTATACCAAGGTCTTGTTTCTCCTATTGTAATAGTTCTGAAAAACCTATTTTATCACATTAAATACCATCCAACTCTGGTTTGCTTTGACAGTTATGGTGTCACAACTCAGATAAGTAAGATCAGATTCACTCCTGGACTCTCTCACTCTTCAAGGACCCCAAGTGTGTACTTTTGAAGCTTCCTGATTGATTGATTGATTGATTATCTATTGGTAAGTCAGATTCCTGAGCCAGTGCTCTGGATGACAGTCTACTGAAGCACAGTAAGGACAGGTTTTGATTCTTAAGATTGCGTATACTTGCGAAGCTGGGTTACAGTATCAGGAGAGCAAATGTTTATAAGAGGCTGAGTTAAGGTTCCAGATTTCTCTTTTCTTACAAAGAAGAAAGAAAATCTAAGGACAATTTTACAAGTAAAGAACAGGAGCATATTTCTCTATTTATAAGCATAAAGATGCCATTAGCTAAGAACATGGGAAGTTCTCAGTCTACTAAAATGTCCCTTCTTGAACCTGTGCTGCCTATATGCTCTGCCAACTCTATCCATTTCCTTCCTTGTTGAAATAATTTTACTAAGGATAATTTGGAACTTCAGTGGCCACCTTAGGATACTTTAGGCCTTCCAAAGTAGCTCCTCTAACACTTGTCCTTTCACATAGCTTCTGCTTCTCCTTCCTTCTCTTACCACCTTGGATCATTCCTTCAAACTCTCTTCAATTCTTTTGATATGTCTCCCTTCAAACGCCTACCTCCTCCATCCCTCTCTGTACCCATGCTAGACCTTTCCCTTCCTACTTAAGTCCATTAACTACCTAAGGTCACTTGAATTTTGGGTTCTCTACCCCCTTTGTGGGCTCTCACAAGATAAGGGACCCCTAAAAGCAACCACTTGAGGCTGAAAGAAAAAAAAATGCTAATTGGAAATAAACTGCATATTTTATCGACTCAGGTGGGCTTTAGAAAAAAAGTTGCTTGATGTCATCTCCGTCTCTCATCTAAAATTTAGTCCATACCCTCTATAAGATTACATACCACGGGGGTTGGCAGGTGGCATGGTAGTTAAGATGTTGGACTCCCAAGTGGCCAACCATGGTTCTAGTCCCAGACCTGGCAGTTTGCTTTCTCACTTTGCCCTTCTCTTGCACATTCTCTCTTTCTGTTTCTTTGGTCAAATTAAAAAAAATAAATAAAGCTCCCAACCCAGGAGAGGTGGAAGGGAACAGAACAGGCCTTCTGCCAGAGAAAGCTCCATGGCTCCTGCGATCTAGCCATTTTGGGGGAAACGGAGAAATGAAGAGGTCCCACTGATAATTCAGCCTCCAGCATAAAAAACTCGCGTGGAGAGGCGGAAGGGAACAGAACAGGCCTTCTGCAAGAGACAGCTCCATGGCTCCTGTGATCTAGTCATTTTGGGGGAAATGGAGAAATGAAGAGGTCCCACTGATAATTCGGGCTCCAGCATACAAAACTTGCGTGATTGAACTTCCAAGTTTGGGAAGAAACCGACCATCCACCAGATGACTAGAAATCACTGCAGAACCACAAGAAATATGGGGAAGCAGGAAAATACCTCTCCT